GAAAAAGATTTTGCAGATAGGTACTCATACTGTGAAAAATAGTGGTTTGTGAAAAACGCTTAAAATACACAAGTCTAAAACGTTGTGTGATTCCCAAAAAAAGCCTCGTTTCAAGTAAACTCAGTGAAACTCTTTTGCCTACATTCTAGCCACTAGAGAGAAAAATAAGGAAAGCTAATAGTCCTCATATAAAGAGCCAATATACTTTGAGCTTTTGATATAGCTTGAATCGTTTATGAAGCTTTTGATTGAATTTGTCGTTCTTGAAATAAGTGCTTCATCTCTTGGCCTCCTCCTCCTTTGGTATTCTCTCTGTTGTAGGTATTTCCATCCTGCCTCTGTTAATGGCACTACGAGCTTGACAAATGATTTACTAACTATTTACAACTCAATAGCCATTAGTACCGATAATGGTGGTTGTAAGAACATCATCCAAAACATTAAGGGCTAACACACTGCTCTCAATGGTTCAGCAGAATCAGTTTGGAGGAGGTGCTACTGAAGACCCGAACCTCCACCTGTCAATTTTCTTAGAGTATTCGACACTTTTGAAACTTTAACTGAGGCACAATGATGCCTATGCGACTCAGATTATTTCCGCTTCTCTTTAAGGGACAAGCGCTAGGGCCTTGGTTACATTCATTGCCAGCTGGGTCCATCACCGCTTGGGATTCAATTGCTCCAGAGTATTTCTTGTAAAGTATTTTCTCCAAGTAAAACAGCACAGTGCAGCGCGAACCAGAATACACAGCTTTGTACAGAAGGAAGGAGAGTCACTCTATGAAGCTGGCGAACGCTAGCAAGGAATTATGAGAATGCCTGCCCTCACCATGGACTGGATAAGGAGTGTTATTGTATCACACCTTCTACAACAGGGCTCACTTACAACACCCGGGATGACTGTTGATGCTGCTGCCCAGGAGGAGCCTTTGATGAACAAAACATAGACGAGGCATACAACTCTTCATTGAAGACATAGCTCAGAATCACTATCAATGGCCTGCGAAAAGAGCGCTGACTCCTCAGGACATCAAAAGGTGGCCAAGTAGTGAAAATAGATGCTTTAGATCATATATACTTCTAAAGTCGATGCGCTTGTATTTAAAAAAGTTGAAGTTTGAAGCTATTAATTCTGTGGCGTCTACTTCAATTTCATGTGAATATGTGGTTATGTGGGTCATGTTGCACTTCAATGTCCAATTAGGAAGACCCCCCATCCATTGATACTTTACTGGTAATTGAACGCAAGTTAAACCTATGTAATAATTTTAATTCAGAAGGGAGATACCGCTTTTCTCTAACACTTATAATCCCGGGTGGAGGAATCATCCTAATTTTTTCTTATATTTGAAACACCACCTGCGAAATTCCATGCGCCGCATTCTAATTTTTGCGTCTCATAGTTTCGTCCCCCTCATATCCAATTTCCCTTCTCAAAAGTCAAATTTGGAAAATATGATGGAGAAGTTTGTGACGACTCAATCAAAATTGAATGAAGAATTTAAGCAACAACTACAAACCACGAATGAGATAGTAAAACAATTGGCCTCTAAGATGGATTCCCTAGCTACGCATAACAAGATGTTAGAGAGACAAATCACTCAATTAGCGCAAAATGCTAGCTCTTCCTCTAGGCCTTCAGGCATGCTACCTGGACAACCTGAGACGAATCCCAGAGGTCATGTGAATGCTATAACCCTTAGGAGTGGAAAACAATACGAGGAACCTAAGATGAAGGAAAATGATGGGGGAGATGGTCACCATGAAGAGAAAACTAAAATTGTGATAGATGTGGATAATAAGACCCAGATACAGGAAGAAGAAAAAGTTAAGAAATATGTGGCCCCCGCTCCTTACAAGCCTCCTCTACCCTTTCCCCAAAGGTTAGCTAAGGCTAAGTTAGAAAAGCAGTTCGGAAAATTTTTGGAGATTTTGAAAAAGTTGCACATCAATATCCCGTTCACTGAAGCTATCTCTCAAATGCCTTCTTATGCTAAGTTCTTGAAAGAGATCCTATCTAACAAAAGGAAGTTGGAAGAATACGAGACTGTGGCCCTTACTGAGGAGTGTAGTGCTATCATCCAGAATAAGCTGCCTCCTAAGCTTAAGGATCCAGGTTCATTTTCTATTCCTTGTGTTATTGGTAATGTCTCTATTAACCGTGCTTTGTGTGATTTAGGTGCAAGCGTAAGTTTGATGCCAATGTCCATCTATAAGAAGCTTGGCATAGGAGATTTGAAGCCAACCACGATATCACTCTAACTGGCGGATCAATCGGTAAAATATCCGGTAGGTATACTTGAAGTTGTACCTATCCAAGTCTGTAGGTTCTTTATCCTGATTGATTTCGTTATTTTAGAAATGGAAGAAGATTCTAACATCCCAATTATATTAGGAAGACCCTTCCTTGAAATGGAAGAAGATTCTAACATCCCAATTATATTAGGAAGACCCTTCCTTGCTACTGCAGGTGCTATAATCGATGTTAAAAATGGAAGTCTCTCCCTAAATATTGAAGGGGAGAAGGTAGAATTTGATTTGAGCAATGCTATGAAAACCCCTCTAACTGATAAAGTTTGTTACAGGGTCAATGTGATTGACGAGTCTACGCATGAGCAACTTGCAAACCATTACTCAGCTGATCCACTCGAGAAGTGTTTGGAAAGTGACGATTCAATAAATGATGAAGACCCGGAGGTAGTCGTGTATGCTCAATCTTTAGAATCAACATCAACTGCTCCATTTCGAAATGCAAAGTTTGAAAGTCTAAAGTTAAAGTCAAAAGGTTCTACTTGTGAAGAGGATAAAGCACTCATAGGCATGACACCGTTCAAGTTGGTGTATGGTAAATCATGTCATCTCCCAGTTGAGTTAGAGCACAAGGCGTATTGGGCTATCAAACTCCTCAATTTTGATATGAAGACCGCAGGTGAGAAAAGAAAGCTTCAACTTCATGAGCTAGATGAGCTGCGTTTGGATTCGTATGAGAATGCTCGTATTTATAAAGAAAGGACTAAACGATGGCACGACAAGAATATTCTTCGAAGAGAGTTTAATCAAGGAGATATGGTGCTACTTTTCAACTCTCGTTTGAAGCTTTTTCCGGGCAAGCTCAAATCTCGGTGGTCCGGACCTTTTCAAGTTTGTAAGGTTTTTCCTAGTGGAGTTGTTGAAGTTTGGAGCGAAACAGCGGGATCTTTCAAGGTGAATGGGCAACGATTGAAGCACTATATTGTAGGTGAACAAAACGAGAAAGGGGTCACTTATACCCTTTCTGATCCCCCTTCGTCGGAGAATTGAGCGCAAAAGGGGTCGAGCTCATGACCATAAACGAGCGCTTCCTGGGAGGCAACCCAAGTTTTCATCCATTTTTTTTTGAATTTTTTTTATTTATTTTATTTAATTTTTTTTTATTTTTTTAGGCAATTGAATCGGCACAAATTTAACTTATAATATTTTTGATCATGCAGTTGTGAAGAAAGGAAGACAATGAAAAAAAAACTGTAGAGAAATGAGTTAAAATGGAGTGGCAGAGCCTACCACACCCAGGGGTGGTGTACACCACACCCATGGTGCACAGAAAAAAAAATTTCAGAGCCTACCACACCCAGGGGTGGTGTACACCACACCCATGGTCTACAGGAAAAAAAATCCAGACTCTACCACACCCATCGCCATACCTGTGGTTCGCTGAAAAAAAAAGAAAAAAAAACCAAAAAATCTCTCTTCAACCCAGCAACCAGACCCCCACCTTCTTTCCTTTCATCTTCTTCGACCTTCCCTAACCCAAATCATCGCCTCCTCTACCTCTCGTTCAGCGCCGCCTCTCATCTTCGACCACCGACCTGATCGCCAGCGCATCCCCCTCTTCGACCAAACACTTCACTATCTCCGACCAAATCGCCGACCGACCGCCTCCTTCCCTCAGGACCAGCGACCTTCGATCCCCCTTTCGCCATCCTTCGTCGCCTCCCTCAAGCCAAGCTCAGCGCTCATCTCTGACCATCTCCGACCGCCGAGCCACCCCCCTTTTTATCTCCGATCAGACCAACAACCTCCACTTCCTCAGATCTACGCCCCCCCCTTCGCCATCCTTCGTCGCCAGTACAACGTCGGCCTTCTCCTTCATCAACATCATCACCGCCGCTCCTCACCTCTTTGATTCAGCGATCACCCCACCCCTGTTTCGATTTCGGCGATCAACACCACCACCATCTCGTGCGATTGTTGAATTTTCATGCTTCTGTTACTCAACTCCCATGAGCATCTGAAGGATCTCATTTTTTTATTTCTTTTATTTTTTTTGGATTAATCTTGATTTTACGGTGAGGACCGCTTTTGAGCAGGGATATGAAGAGATGAACAATGCTAAATCAGAGAAAATTATTTATTTCATCGGTCTAGTTCTTGAAATCTTGCTCTATCAACCGATGATAATGACGATCTATTATACTGCATTAAAGGATGGAATAATGGCTTGGAGATGTGCAGCCAACGAGATAACCAGTGAGCATTATATGCAAAATCATTTCTTGATAGAACTCGTCTACCCTCATCAAGCAATGCAGAACTATACGACCAAGTGTTGCAACCTTCAGCTAAATACCTTGGAATATTGCTTGGAGTTGATCAATGGGCAGTGAATATATTTACTGAAGGAATTATTCATGGTGGCTCAGCTACATCTTTATCAGCACTCCTTAATCGATTTGACCTTGTTTTGCGTAAGAAGGCAAATCTAGGAAGTTGGAATGTTATAGTCCTGTTGAAGTTGCTGGAAATGTTAATGTTGTCGATGAGTTGCTTACTGTTCAGAATAAATCTTATGAGCGACCAACCAATTTAGTGGCTAAAAGCGTCAAAGGAGAGGAAGAAATACCCGATGGAGCATTTGCTGTTCTGACCAGTGAGTTGGTATGTCCTCTGCACCCTTACATTCATTTCTATCTTATTACATTGAGGACAATGTAGATCTTAAGCTTGGGGGTGTGGGTTGTTTATTCATTGGTTGCCTTTCTATAATTACCTGTTTTTCTTTTATTTTTGTTTTTCTTTGCTTTGTTAATTAAAAAAAACAACAAAAAAAACAAAAATAAACAAATTAGGGAAATGATCTCCTGATGATGACATGAATGCTTAACCTTTATCGATCATTGAACTAGATAGATGCTCATTAATTGGGACTTAACAACTTCTTATACCATCTTTCAACTGATTCTCAAAGGCTTTTGATTACAAGTTAACAATATGGGAGAACCAGACTTGAATGTTCTCTTTTCTTATAGGTTTTAGCGTTTATGTGGCTAGCATCATAACCATTACTCTAATGAGATAAGAGGGGAATTAAATTTGGTAGACAAATAAAACCCGTGAGATTTTGAGCCTGAAAATTGGATGCATTGCATATCCAATCATTATTTTCTTTGCTTATGTGATATTCTCCAATGGTGTAGGATACTAGAACTTGCATTGAATCTCTTCAAGGCCACATATAACTTTTGTATGCATAAAAGGTGATTGAGGCACATTTTTGTTTATAGTCCACATTTGCCAAATAGCCTACCATGCACTATTGTTCCCTTTGATTAGCCCCCTTGAGCCTATGAGCCTAATTTTTGTTGATTAAACCCACATATGTAACCTTCAAAATCCGATTTTATTCCTTACCAATTGCCTAAGCTAGTGGAGCACATTTTATGATACAATGGGTTATGTGAGTAATATGGTGTAAGCTTGGGGGTGTGAAAGTAGGCGTTTGCTTCCCTTTTCATAATTCTTTCGAAAAAAAAGAAAGAAAAAAAATTCGAAAAAAAAGATGAATAAAGTTGTCATCTTTATGGTGTATGTAATTGCGGGTGTCGAAAGAATTTATTATGGCATACTAAAAGGAGTAGTTGGAAGAAGTTCTTTAATAGATGATGGAGTTTGTGTAGATGTCATTGATCTTACTTTGAGATATAATCTTTTGCAATCATAGCTCCACTAGTGATAGGCTTTCAACCAATCCTAAATATCTATCCTACCCTTTTGACCCTAGCCCCATTACAACAAAATAAAAGACCTCATGATTTTGTTGCATACATTAGTTTTCGAAGTGGTGGAGAATTGAGATGAAATGCAAGCTTATGGATTGAATACATCCATTCGGAAGAATTTTGAGCGATACAATCACATCCTTAAACACATGAGAGATTGAGAGTCCACTTATCCTAAAGTGAGGTCTACCAATTTAACTACCTGAAGGTCTCAATTTTAGTACTTCGGGATTGAAGCTAGTTACATGAATTTCTTTTTTCTACTTTGATTTGAGAATTGGATAGGATGGGTATCCTTGACTTGTGATGCTTGTGATCGTAAATAAATTTTGAAATGTGATTTTGTTAAGAGTTCGGAAATTAATTTGTTAAGTCCCGATGAAAAGTATTTGTTTTGTGATATGTTTGATATTGGTTAAAGGATTGATGAGGGGGTGATCCCTACTCTATTTGGCTTCCACTCCTCCTATTTTCTTTATTGTCTATTTGCTTGAGGACAAGCAAAAGTCTAAGCTTGGGGGAGTTGATAAACACGTAAAATATGCATTATCTTAGTGTGTTTTAAGCATGATTTACGAGTGTTTAATGCATATTTCGTGTTTAGATCGAGGATACTGCTGTGGTTTGTGTTCTTATATGTAGGTATTGGCTCAAGATTGAAAGATTTGATGATCGTTGGAAGTTTTACAAGAGTTTGAAGCAACAACAAGATTTTGAAGGCATGGTTCGTGAAGAAAATGGATGCACGAGTATGAAGAACTGGAATTTCGACCATGATGCAGTTTGAATCAAGAAAAACTCAAAAGATGAAAGTTGTAGATCTCTTCAACAGGATTCCAATGCAACTTGAATCACCTCATTCTGAGGTCGGACGCAAATGTTATAGCCAAAATACCGAAAACTGAAGAAACAAGCACAAAATCAGCAAAACAGCCCCTACCACACCCTGGTGTGGTGCAGACCACACCTGTGGCGTGGGAATTAGTTATTTTTCAGATTTTTAGGGACATATAAATAGATGTTTTGACTTAGGGTTTTGGATATCTTTTGTTATGTTCTTTTAGCCATCAACTAGCAACTATTCTAGGGTTCAAGTATTGAAGGAAGACATTAATCTCTTGTAGAAGATTGGATTGCAAGTTCTTATTTTGAAGATTTCAATTGAAAGACGGGTTAATTCTTTCCTCTCTTTGATTTATTTCTTCTTATGATTGATTTGCATAATTA